TATATATATATATATTACAGTACTTTGTATCATCATCATCACCATCATCATTATTATTATTATTATTATTATTAATCTTCTTGTCATTTTTATCTTCAAGTTGATTATAGTTGAAGTGGGTGGCAAGCAATCAGTGTAGTGATGACAATTAAGAATGCTATAATTGTTTTCAAAAGGATACTCAGTTATATTTAACTTGTTATCAACTAAACTAAAATTAATGATACAAGCCTTGGTTCACAACACAAGGAAATGATACCTGGACTATTATCATTCATTTTATACTACAAGAAATTTTAATTTCCTGGACACAGGCTGTTGTGCATTTTTCAGGAAATAGAAATTCAAAAGAATATGGATTAGTAAAGCCGTGCAGAGACTTGCTTATGTATAAAGATTGGTACACGCTGTAAAAAGTTTAATACTGGCCATTTGCCATATAAATGGGCGTGGTACATCATCATGCTCTTGAGAGTTGACATTTGCAAATCACGGAAATGTTGCGTTCACATACAAAATTGATAGTGCTTAGTTAAGCAAACTTTCCGATGGTGTTTGATAAAACAATTATACGACAGATTTATTTATTCTTGGCTAATCCTATGTCTTCCAAGGGAGCAGTGTAATTTGACTGTTCCCTCCAGTCTTTCCATGGTTGTTTGAAGTAGGATATTGCTCTACCTCTGATCAGACTAAACACTGTATGTTGAGTTTGACACAAATCTGCCAGACATACTGCCCTGAGTTTGAAAAGCCATTAACTGCATTTGTTTCTCAAAATTGAAATTTCTGTCTTATATCCATGGCTTCCGGTGGAATATTCTATCCGGCACCTAAAAATATTTCCCATAAATATGGCAGATAATACATTATATGAAATAAACTACAAAACCCTACTCAAACAGGTTTTGCTTATTTACTCAAAGGATATGCTTTTGTTGGCTAATGCGTTCTTTCAAATCAGATAGTGTAGGCCCTACTTTGTGTGGGTTATGTGATACATCAATAAGTAGAAATGTACAGATTTATTCAAATACGTAGGCTGTCCGTCGTGTCAAACAGAATATGTTACCAAAAACGACTGAACATCACCTCTATTCTGGGAACCCCTACTCTAAAATCACTCTACTTGCTTGCAGCAAGACTATGCATTGCAATCAAGATCGTTTATTTATACAAAACCTCCTTACCCTTGTCCCCTTTACTCTTACTTACAATCTTGAAATATTCCTTGATATAGCTTGCGGTATAGTTGTCATGCCTGTCGCCGAACAATCCACTTCTGTTTTGTTTCCACATTTACACACCGGAGGGTATACGGGGATGACTAAAACAAATCACATATGGTTATTGATTTATTCTATGTAACTGAAATTTATATATTTTACATTACTAATTAGGCGTATGTTCCAAGGTTGTCTAATAGCGACATCCATCACCGTCTAAAGCTGCATTCACACCGAATACGAATTGTTGGATCCGAAGGTCTTCCGAACTGTTCATAAAATCGAATTCAATTCAATTCAATTCAACTTGTATTGTCAAACACAGTGAGAACATGGTTTGAAATTCTTCTTGTTTCTTCTCAGTTAAAATGTAAGTTAAAACTTATTAATTTGTAGGCTAATTGATAATAGGAACATTGGCGTTCAATGCATCGGAAACGCGGTCCTAATTTCGTTTGGATCCGATGTGCAAACAGCTGTATACAATGTGTGGAGAATACCTTATAGGCCTATTACATTACAGAAGACAAAACATACACACGATCTTATACGACCTCACACGCATCCTAACGTGCACGTACGAGTGCGTTAAGATTTGAAATTGCTCTAAATCACTTTTTGACTAATCACTTTGTGACTAAATCACAGCATGTTTCAGGCCATATTGAGTATTTCAAGATTTTCTAAAATTTCCAATCCAGACGCGCATTTCCATGCTCACAGCACGCGGGGAAACTATAAATAATTTTGTTTGTACATATTTTGTGTTTCTGACATTTTATTCATAAACTTTTATTCTTTTTCAGCCACTTTAGGGCCAACAACAATGCAGTACGTGCGCATCAAGCATACGAATCCGTGCTCGCTCGTGTTTGTGTCGACATACATTGAAAATATGCCAAAATCATGCCTATTTTATTAAGCTCTAGCTCCTTAGGATGCATGGTGACCCCCAAATTGTATTACATATTCTGAAAGCACATGAGTTGCAGATATGATTTTATAGATAAATCATTTTGGCTGATCGGGCATTGTGACGTCATCATATTGCCACTTAAGAGTATGTTCACAAATTTGCATTCTTTTTCAGTCAGTTTATAAGAGCCAATAACAATGCCGTACACAGATTAAACATACAAATTCGTGTGCGTGTTTGTTTCGATATACTGACACTATATTGCAGTAATACATGTCCATGTCCTTTTAAATGCCTGCTTTGATTCGGATACCAAAAGCCTCCTTCCTGATCAATCATTCCAGAATAGCGATCTTCATTTCACTATTGGATCTTGCCTATCGCCAGTCCTAAATTCCGTTGATGAGTTATACGTTCTAACTGCATAAGGGTCGACTTATCACAAAACTGTTTATATTTTGAAGCTACGGTTCAACACCAAATAAATCTGTAAAGATTACACGGCTGGACGATTATGTTTGTTTAGGTTTTATATATCCTTTTACTGATTTACTTTATTAAACTTGTTATTCTCATTATCTCCCATTAAACCGCTTTGCTCTAGCAAAACTAAGAGTCAACGCAGAATTGAAACGAAATTTCACTACACAGTTGTGCCGAATAATGCGATATAAAGAAGTATGTCGATGTCCTCCAAATCGCATAATCTCATAGATCGTGCAGTCCTCGACTACTTTGATTGCGTAATGCGTATACTGTCGAGTTGTTGGCTTACACTACAATTACACACAACATTCCGTCCTAAGTGTGTAATGTAGAACGTGCGTGCTTTAATTTTACTAGAGTCCACACAATAATTGGTGCTTGAATTCTTGGTTTATTTCATCATCTACTTCATGTATGGAGCATAACATTTTACGATAAGCATGAACGATTTTCGATGGCTAGTTTAAAAACTTGCAGTAACTATTCTTGAGCTAATTGGTTCCCAACTAATGAGTGCTTTCTGAGCTTCTTTCGATAAAATAAGTGCAACACCTTCAGTGTGAGGAGCATTATTGAATTTGTATCCTGAAAACAAAATCTTCTCATTAGTTGTCAAGGTTGTTTGACCAGCACCAGTCCATCTTGTCTCACTTATTGCTAACAGTAAAATATTATAATTTCTCATCTCCTTTGCAATTGTGCTGCCTCTCCGGCTTCGTACATAGTACGTACACTCTAAGTTCCAATATAGGATATTGCCTTGGGCGATAAAAGCTTCAGCAAGATAGCTTCCTTACGGCTTTCACTATCTTGCGTCGTAGTGTCACAACTTCCAGAGTGGCTTTCACCTCCCAACCATGCAATTTTGAGTTTGTAGTTGACGTTTCTGTAATCCGATTTAACAATGATCGGGGGATTAGCCCACCCATTGTGGTTTGTTTTCGAGGTTTTCCTTCTCTTAGCCATTTCCTCGTTAGCCAGAGAAACGTTGTTCTCTGTTGCCCAGGGTGCACCAGCGAGGAGGTGAGGTTGACTTGTTGGATTTGTTGACTGTCCAACCATGCACACCTTGTGTTGTGTTGATCAAATTTACTTCTAGAACAATCGTTGGAATGGAATACCCTGCTGTGAATGAATTTCATCGATTATGAAAAGGCTTTTGATAGCTTAGATAGAGAAGCCTTGTGGAAGATAAAGACACTATGGCATACCAGACTAAAGATCATCAGAATAATCAGCAACTCATACAAAAAAATTACCTGCCAAGTACTACACGAAGGAAATCTTACTCAGGAATCTGAAATCAAAACTGGCGTAAGGCAAGGTGGGCTACTATCCCCATTTTTATTTAATCTCGCAATAGACTTGATTATGAAACAAACAACCCAAAGGAAAAGAAATGGATTGCAGTGGACTCTATGGGAACAACTTGATGACTTGGACTATGCGGACGACATTGCATTATTGTCGCAGACACATCAGCAGATGAAATACAAAACCACACTTCTTGAAGAAGCATCAAGCATGGTTGGCCTAAACATCAATGTGGAGAAAACTAAGATGATGATGTTAAATACAAGCAATGACCACACTATATTATTAATGAAGAGAGAAATAGAAGAAGTAGAATCATTTAACTATCTGGGAAGTAAAATCAACATCAGAGGAGGAACAGATGAAGATGTGAAAGCACGGATTGGCAAAGCACGAGCGGTATTCAATACTGTCCAAAGTCAGGAAAGCGAGAGAAATCAGCACAACAACCAAACTGAAGATATTTGAATCAAATGTGAAGGCAGTTTACTTCTATATGGATCTGAAACGTGGCGAAATATGAAATGTATAATGAAGGAAGTACAGGTCTTCATTAACAGGTGTTTGAGACAAATACTAAGAATATGGTGTCCGGAGAAGATAACCAATGGAGAACTTTGGGAGAGGACTAGACAGGAGACAGTTGAAACCCAGATTTCCATGAGGAAATGGGGATGGATTGGCCACATATTAAGGAGAAATAGAAACACCATTACAAGACAAGCCCTAACATGGAATCCACAAGGAAAAAGAACAAGATCGGAGGTGGAAGGAATTGCCCAGAACCATGTGAGATAGAGTCATGTAGTTGATGGCCTATGCACTGCCAGGTGTAACAAGGCTTAAGTAAGTAAGTAAGTACATTTTTGGTACAATAGAGCAATTTTATTACAAATTTATGAAACGCTACGCCGACGTCCGACATTTTTATTACATGTATATGTAAACGAAAGCCATCCTACAAACTACGCCTACTCAGTCACAAAACCACTTCGAATTAAGTGCGTATAACAGCGACAATCGACGTGCGCTTACCTCCGATGCCTGCTAATGAGAACAAAGTTTTACGCTGTGTACGCAAAAATATGCAAAAGCGCCAAACAATCAGTGGACGAGTTAGTAGGAATATAGCCAAAAACAAAACTCTCGTGTTTGGTAATTGGTGGTGGTCAGATAAGGTTTTAAACTTACGGCAAACGTTGGTGTTGTAATTGCCCACATCGTACTTCAATACTATCGTTGTGTTGTGGCGTCGGTCAAAGTCATCGCCGAAGCCAGCTTTTTCCTCTGAAATGCAAACAAATATATATGTGATTGACCTATAGGCCTACTATGTCATACATTATTATGTGATATCGCTATCTGCAGGAAAATTATCCATGTCCTCATAAATCTCCTTGTAACTAGGAATGACATTTATACTGCAAATAGTCATATATGATCGTACCAATCAAGACAAGGAGGCATGATGATGATAATGGTTGTGGTGATAATACAAAGTGATGATGACGAAGATTGTGATAATGATGATGATGATGATGATGAGGATGATGATGATTATAATGATAATTATGATGTAATTTTTATATAGATGATGATTATAATGATGGGGTAGATTATGTGGAACAACGTAATTATATAAGTAATCATTGCATATTATCATGTTTCTATAACAAAGTCGAAAATGATGATTATGATGATGTTAATGGTGATGACGATGATAGTGAGGATGATAACCCAGATGAAGATAATATTCAATTTCCAATTCAAATAAACAATAATTTCGACCAATTGTCAACAGAGAGAGAACACAAGAAATACTTAAACACTTATCAAAGTAAAAAAAGTATTCAAATTAAAAGAAAAGAAAAATAAATTAAAACAGTTTTTATCAATCTCCCTGAAAGAATTATAGAACCACGCCATGCAATAAATAAGTATACTTTGCATATTTTTTTCAACACTGAAAAAATGATTATCAAATTGAATACCATGTAGTCTCATCAATAAAAACATTATTTTTTTAGTTTCATTATGCAACCTCAGTCTCTTATTTAACACGAAAATCGATTAACATCTCTTTAGTTTTGCTTATATTTAATCATGGTAATTATTCAACCGCCAACTGTTGAAAATGTCAACACTTTATCTTCATTGAACTCTACAAGTTTGTAACATTAAAACCGACAATAGCCGTATCAACGCCATACTAGATGATAATTGTGCACTGAAACCGAGGTTTGCCATCATTACCTTTATTTTAAACATAGGCGACGACGCGGTACGGACAAACCACTTTATAATTTCGAGTCCATTTCGTAAGTATAGGAATTACTTTAAGGTCGATTATGTTTGCGTGCAAAAACAGTAGAACTATGTGAGTCCATCCATTGTCGTCCCTTTAAAGAGACCTAAATATAAATTAATCGAAGTTAAACACTTTAAGTATTAAAATACAGCTTCTTAGTATAGACAGGCCCAATATAAATAAAATAATCTTGAAAATTATCAAGTCCAGTGGTTATTGGCACAATTCTTATAATTCTCATTTTCACAGGTTTCATATTGAATTTTTGAATAATTATAATTTTGATATTGTATTATTGTGTTCAAAGGCTTTTGCAGATGGTTATTTATGGGTGGAATCTGATAATAATGTCCTGTTGATGATGTCGATGATGGTGATGGTGATGATGATAATGATGATAATGATGATGATGATGATGATGATGATGATGATGATGATGATGATGATGATGATGATGATGATGATGATGAACTTACAACGCTGCGCAAGAGACGTGAGAGGGGAGACCTTATCCGGACCTACAAAATAATGACATATATTGATCGGATAGACCCTGATTTGTTTCTTCGAAAGGCTGCTTATCAGCGTACCAGAGGACATAAACTGAAAATTGACAAGTCGCTAGACGTAAGGGAATATTCCTACTGTCAAAGGTAGTTGTTAGATGGAACAAACTACCGAAGAATCACCCGCACTGCTTTGCTTTAAACAAAATTTAAATAACCTGGGTTATTAAAAGGCATAATAATGCCTCCCATAACCCTGCCACTTTTCTCACTCTTACTTCTAAGAAGGTGGTAATGATGATGCTGTGGTTGTATATGATAAGGATAATGGTGAAAAGGATGATAAAGATGATGATATTGATTGTGGTGGTAGTAGTGTAGGTGGTGTTGATCATGACAATGATGATCATAATGGTGAAGATGATGATGATGATGATGATGATGATGATGATGATGATGATGATGATGATGGTGATGATGATGCTGATGATGCTGATGATGACGATAATGATGATGATTTTTTATAGTGCTAGAGGTCATAGTGTTGGGAATGACAGTGGTTTTGACGTTAAATGTGGTAGGGGTAATGACGATGAAGAGGACAATGATAACATTAGTAATATTGATGACGATATTGATGATGATGATGATGATGATGATGATGATGACGACTACGATAATTTACAATGATATCAATGGTTACCGATTATGACAGACCTCATGACTATATTTTAAGAATAATACTAGTTTAAGTTCCATTTGTAAAACTCAGGAAAGGTAATTTTTTCATTACTTGGTCCAAACACATATGTACGAGGCTATTTAAGGGACGTGGTGCATTTGTTTTCTCCTAACCCGTACATACGATTTAATAAGGCGTACGTACGTCTTAATACGTCATACCTTATAGGTTACTAATGCGTACGTATTGACGACGACGACGATGATGATGATGATGGGAGTAGTGGTGATGATGATGATGGTGATGTTATAGAATTGGTAGAATTGGTGAAGTGGTGATAATGCAGTAGATGATTATGATTGTGGAGCAATGTTTATGTTCCCACATTTGACCTCAGTGATTTCCATCACGGAAAGATTGCTAGGCAACAGAAACATAGAAAGTAAGTCAAAACTATCCATTTGAAATAACCATGACACCTTATAATGTCAGATAGCAAAATTATCTTAATAGTACTTACAGCCGTATTTCTAAAACTAAATTTAGTATGAACTTTTGAGCATAAAATGATGTCACATAATATTTTCAAACGAACTTTGACTAGAACTAGGCCTGTTTATCCAAACCCATTTCATACAACCTATTAGTAAACCAAGAGATACTCGAATTAAACATATACAGTATTCAAAAATTTATTAATTTTTGCTGACTATTTGTGTACAAAGAGGTTAGAGTGGCCTAATTTTATCTTGGATCACAATAGAGCAACTAAAAAAAAAAAAAAAGAAAAACAACGCCAAGCAAAGCGTTTGTGTCGTAAACGTATGTTCATTGTATATACAGCGCTTGTACAGCGCTTAAAACGTTTGCATTTTTGCATTTTAACATTATAGGCCTACCTATGAAGACTATTTTCGTCACGCAAAAAACCGATAAAATAGCCCTACTTGAACCACATTAAAACATATTTCTAAAGCTCTGTCAGGTATCAACTTTTCTTCCACAAAAAAAACCTGTTATATGCCTATATCTATAGTCATGATGTGCCTATATATGGCCATGAGGTGATGTCATCATGACGATATTTAGGCATGGCACATTTTCACATTAAGTCGGATAGTGAGGAAAGAGCTCAATGTGTAAATACAACAAATTAGTTACTCAACGATTGACATAGTTATGAATCACATGACAGGCCATTGTATTATACTAAATAATGACAATCATTCGTTTGTATAATGTTGTTTTTTTAAAACATATTTTAATCAAACTGAATCACATGTAAAGCAACAAACATACATTCAATTATCCTTCAATGGGAAAAATATTTGAGCTGAGTTAATAGGGCTTTTATTTAAAATTGCTATTTCATATAGTCGATGTATGTCGAATTATGTTATGCATACACGCTGTCAAGTTAAAAGATTTTACTCAAATGTGAGCCGGTGACGTAAGTTAAACTGTTACTTGTACAGTTATTCATGTGAATTGCCAATACAGAAAGCGTGGATAAGTTAAATGTAGCCCCCCCCAAAAAAAAAAAAAAAAAAAACAAAAACAAAAACAAAAACAAAAACAAAATAAAATAAAAAAACAAAAAAAACAAAAACAAAAACAAAAACAAAACAAAACAAAAACAACTATGTCGATCAGTAATCCCGCTGGGAGCCTATTTTTAATTCTGTCACATCTTATAAGTTTACTTTTCAATAAACCATTTTAGAGTGTAAATCAAACTTAACAATTGGCCAATCAGAAAAAGGTCAATGATACGTGCATGTCTCACCAGTCTCACAAACACACATGTTGTTCCACAAATGCACATGCCACGTAACGTCTACATTTTTTTGTTTTTGTGAGAACATAGTAACAATCGGGCGTGACTCAATGGAACCATAATAGGATGAAACTGTGGAGCTCTATGATGAAACTGATAGACTAAATGATTGAATGAATAATGGACCTTTTCGAAGTGTCAATCAAAATTAACAACTGACCAATCAGAACAGGACCATGAATACGCGCGTGTCTAACAAGCACACATGTTGTCCTACAATCGCACGTGTTTAACACTGTAGTTTGTGGGGACCTTAGCAACAATATCCAGGGGGCGCGGCTTAGTGGTAAGGTCTATTGATTGATTGATTGATTGACTGATTAACGGAATGATTCACTGATCAATCGAAATTATTATCATTCTAGTTACAGTATAACCTTAATGAGTAACGACCCGCCAAATATTTTAAAAATCTGTTCAGCTGAATTCTGAGGGATATGATATACTGTTAGTAAAACAACAATGTCTCAATATTTATGGTTAAACAATACTAACGTTTAGTAATCAATAACGTTTGATTTATTGTCTTGAGCATTTATAATAGACCTACTGTGCTAAGTAAATGAAAATGAATGAGAATCGGAATAGACTCTACTGACGCCTGTAGTTAATTTAACTTTTATTTGATCTTAATAATGTCATAGTTAGTCTTACATCAATGTTGTTTTCTTCCTTTCGATATTGACGTACACGGACAATCGACGTCAAAAATATCACTTGAATTTAATTAAATGGAAATACTTTCATTTAATTTGAGAATTGGCATTGAGGTGGTTTGATTTTCATACTTTTTTACGCTGTACGCATGTCCGAATGATCATGTGACAATGGACCGTTCTGGTGTGTCAATCAATCTGATCAACCAGAACACGGTCGGGAGAACGTGCGCGTCTAACACATACACGTGTTGTTCCACCAGCAACGCACGTGTTTGCATATGTTTTAACATCGTTT